AATCTATCCTCTTTTAGTTCAAAACCATTACCCCTTGTCCCATCACAACAGGCCTTGCTAAAAAGATTCTCCCCATCTTTCCTGTAGGCCCCCTTTAAGTATTGGAAGGCCGCAATAAGGTCTCCTCACAACCTTCTCTTCTCCAGGCTGAACAACCCCAACTCTCTCAGCCTGTCCTTGTAGGAGAGGTGCTCCAGCCCTCCTCTGGACCCCCTCCAGCAGGTCCATGTCCTTCTTGTGCTGAGGGCTCCAGAGCTGGACACAGTACTCCAGGTGGGGTCTCACCAGAGAATTTCAAGAATCAGTACAGATAATATTTTCTACCTGGAATAACTTCCCTCAAGCTATCATAGCATATCATTGCTTAACTGAGTTAAACTATTTCTACTCGTTTATTTCTATAATAGGCATGCCTTCACGTTTTGCTCCTTTCCTACTCTCTCGGAAAACTACACGGTAACTTTTTATTATTAATGAAAATGACTAGGTAGGATACAAAGTAAGTTTCTTCCCCAACTCCAAATTCAAAAGGCCTATTTGTTCTGCAAAAGACTCTAGACCTGGAAGTCTCTCTCACATAATGACATGTTTTCCTGGTTTCAAAAAACTCTCCCCTCAGATTTTCTGTTACTTGAAGATAGTTACTATGACTGTTTTGAAAGAAAGCAACCCAAGATAGTAATACAAAAAAAGTTAGATACAAACCTAACCCTGATCAGTGCTATTAATTGCTACTTTTCCTCCTTCAGATTTTGCCATAACTTCTTCATTAATGATCACTGTAGATTAGACAGCTAATGCAAATGCTCTAGCATCCACAAACTGTACTGTCTTTTTAATATTTTTGAAGGGTTGTGGGCTTTTTGGAGGGGATGTTTTTGGGTTTTTATAAGAGGGTATCAGAAATGTTAAGATGTGTGTAGTACAGGGTTTCAGCAGTTCAGGAACTGCTGAAGGAGGCACAGGAAGAGCAAAAACAAAAAGAAAAAAAACACATGCAAAACAAACAGAAAAACTCAAACACTGCTCAGTAAGAACAAACAATGTAAGGAACAGCTTAAAAGCATGTGCACTTCTGCAAAGAAGCAGGTTTTATTTTCCCCATCTTCAGACATCCTGGATATTATAAACAAAAGTACATGCTCAGCAGAAGACTCATGAAAGAATAAAGAGGATCTTGAGTAGCTGGCAACTACTCTAGTCTCAGCAATAGCTGCCTTTCAGGAGCTATACCAGAGAAAGGAGAGTGAGCTGGATCCATGAAGCTTTATCATAAAGACCTAGATCCTTTTTTTGGCAGCTCTGGATATGAAATACCTGTCACTTGAGAAAGCGAAAGCTTCAGCAGCATAAAGTTTAACAGAGACTGCTACAAAAGTCTTATGGTACTGGAACATGCGACCAGAATCAAACCACCCTTGAAACCACCACCATGCTTCTCCTGTGGAATTACTCCCAGATCTCACTGCTTGCTACTAAAGTAATTTTAAACAGACCTATATTTTTTACACATAGAAGTACCCATAGAACTGCTTTATCTATTTGCTTTATTGTAGCAAAAAAGTCAGCCATGGAGCCACAGAATCCAGGAGTCTTAACACAGAACTTGAATCAAACCCGGTCCAAAACCTGGCCTGAAGGATAAGCCCAAATTTACAATCCTTCTAATTTGCAAACCTGAAATGAATTAGCAAAATGAAAACTGCTTAACTGTTCTTAAAATTTAATCTTTTTGAAAGAACAAAACATTTCTCTATTTTTAAGAAAATATTAAGTTGTTTAATAAAATTTCAGTAAACTTCATTAAAAACCTCACGCATTTTAATACAAAAAACCTTTCCAAAATACTCAGTTCTAATTCAGTCTTTAGATAGCCTGTAAAAGTTTTAAATGCAATACCAAAAGTTTTAGAAAATGCCTAGGAACACAGCCTTTGGGTTTTTTTCTTTTTTTGAAACTAGGCAAATTAATCACAGCTATCAAACTTGGGAAGCCTGTTAAAGCAACCATCAAGGCAGAACACTCTATAGCTCTCAGCTTCAATCCATTTGCTTAGCAATTCATTTTAATGCTTCATCTAAATAGATCACACATTCATGATAAATCCTAGAAGCAAACTGATCACCGTAACTCTTCTCTTTCAGCAATCACCAACTGGAATGTAGAATTTAGCAGTCCACTAATATTAAAGTTATACACGTAATATCTTATCAAATACTTCTTTTTTCCCCAAATAGAACTCTTCTTCAAAACATAAGAAATTTTTAAAAAATCTGATTACAGATTATCCTAAAAAAGAAACAAATCCTACCCACAAGACAAACAGATGGAATAGAATCATAGAATGCTTTTTGGGTTGGAAGGGACCTTGAGAGATCATCGAGTCCAACCCCCCCCTGCAGTAAGCAGGGATTGAACCCGTGAACTTGGCGTTATTAGCACCATGTTCTAACCAACTGAGCTAACCCAGCTGGTCGTATACAGATACTAGAAAGATAGCACTGCTTTATTATTTCTAACCTTTTATTTCCAGATAGACTCGCTTTATTTTGCGGTTTGAAATACTCACATACATGGAACAGAAACAAAAGCACAAAATTCATTAGCATATTGTAAAAATCAAGTAGCCACTGAGATGATAACAAAAGCTTGTGAAAACTTAGCAAGAGTGTCAGGAGCAATCAACAGATAAAGGCTTTACTTCTTAGAATTAAAAGGCTGAATCCTCAAATATCTGAGAAATCAGAGCCCAGGGGAAAAAAAAAAAAAAAAGTATTATCAGAAGAGAACCTGTCTGTATACTTTGCTATTTTTAAACCTTCTACATCTCAAGATTTCAGAAAATTTTACTTTTACCTCAATGGTGTGATGGTGTGTTTTGCATGGTAGAAGGAAAAAAAATAGAATCTTGAAAGCAGTTACAAAGCTTCTTGACCAAATCAGCAAAGCTGACTGCCATACATCCCACTTTTGGAAGTTATTCTATCTAACACAGTTGAGCTTAAGCAACACTTTCAGAAAACTTAGAGTGGACAGTAGTATGCAATACTTATCTAAGGGACAGAACTACCGACAAAGCAGGCTGTTCTTACGAAGCATGCAAGCCAAGTTAATCATCCTAAAAGAGCAGGCCTGCATGTTATCTTAATCTTTAATTCTGTAGGAGACCTGGAAAGGACTTTTTGCTTGCAAAGCTACAGCACTTACTATCATTAAGCAACTACATAAGCCACTTTGAATTAATCAAAATAAAGATTTCTATGCAAAATGCCCTGGCTATTCTGGGGGAGGCAGAGGGGGAAGGCAGGCTGGGGCAGGGTCAGGGGGAGAACAAAAACCCAACAGTCATAGGAAGGCAAACGTGTTCCTTTCCAGCGCTCTGAAAGGAACTTTCAATTCTCAGGAAAGTAATCATAACAATAACAGATGTGCAGGAGGAATGGGATTGTCTTTTCTCTTGCTTCAAAGGTGCTAGAAATTATCAACTTACCCTGCAGGACAAGTCAACATCCTTGTATGACCTGCATATGCTAACTTCAGCATCTTCAAGGGCATGCTGTTTATTGGTCCCTTCACCACTACATGAAGAGGTATACAGCAACATTTAAAGTGTACCACTGGAAGGAAAAAAGACTAGGAGATTGCATTTTCTTTCCCAATCACTTCATAATTTCTGCCAGAAGAATGCATAGACAAACCTTTCCCTGGACGAATGTCGCAGTACATCAAAACAACTAAAGAAGTTTTTCTCTTTCACAAGGATCTTAGGAAAAGAGTCAGTCTTCAGCAACTTGTGGGAATAATCTCCATAGCCTCTCTCTTACTGCACTTGCCAAGAATATCTAGAAAAGGACTCATTTGTAAATAAAACAGACCAGATTTTTTTTTTTGGAGTCTCTCACTTAGAAAAGGAAAAGAAATATGAAATAGTTCTGATGTTTCTTCTTGAAATATAGAACTTCGATTAATTTAGAGAAAGAGATAAGAAGAAAGAGTGGTGGGTTTTTTTAAAGAAAATATCACAAAGGAAGTTGATTATCTGTAATAGAAGTGGTTAAAACAATTCTCTTAATTTTTATTTTCAGATGGTGGGGCAAGGGGGAGCAGAAAGGGCTGTTTTGCTTTCTCCTGCATTGTTTAGAAGACACAGCACAAGCTGCAAGAAGAAAGAAAACCTCACCTACTGTATTTAGAAAAAAAAGAAAGCAGATGAGCCACTGGAGTCACAGCCAAACAGAGGGTTCCTCTCTTTGTCAAACAAAGCAGTGCTAGCAACAATCTAATCAATTTCCTTTTTGTGGAACACATATTGAAATCTGAACTAGAAAGATGGAAAACTGCCTTAGTATGACTGAAGCAGAAAAATGCTGAATGTTAAGTTTATGATTATTTTAAGGTTTTTTGTTGGTTTTGGGGTTGGGGGTTTTTGGGGGTTGTTTTTTTCTTTTATATCATCCAATCTGTTGGGGAATAAAAGCTTATAAATATATGTATTGGTAAGAATCTATCTGAATTAGTATTTGTATACAAACAGCACATAAAAAATGGCAAACCAAGTATTGTACTATTTCTTTTCCTGAAGTAAAGCTTTCAGACTCTCATAAAACGTCTGTTCCACTTTTATGATTACTATGGAACTTACAATCCTGCCTACAAATTTGCAACATCAAAAAACCTCAGCTTTCATTAAAAATACTGTTACTGGCTGTTCTACTCTGAAATGAAGCTTGAAAAGATCATCCACGTTATATAAAAGCTTAAAAAAAAAAAACCCACACCCAGAAAACCTAGAAAGAAAAACCCCAACAAGCGTCAAGTTTGGCTTCGCCCCCAACAATGCCACTTGATTTTGTGCCCTGTTTTTTGACTAATGACACAATACTGCAGTCCAAAAAAATAATCTCCATTTCACTGTAAACTTTTAATATACGATTGCTTTCATTTCAATTATATTCAACTCAAAGTAGTTATTAACAAAGATTTTTTTAAAAAATTAATACCTCAGTCTGACCTTCATGGGCACTGGATTCATGGGTGACACGAATAGCCTAAAATTAAAACATATTTCAATCAGGCTTTAAATGAGAGACTTTCAGTGTTTTAAGAATCACTGTATGATTGTTCAGTGCTTGTAATAAATAAATAAAAAAAATAATAATATCTACTTCCAAGGACCTCAGAAGACAAATATATCAGTTTCATCACAGTCAATTCAAATCAAATACCTAACAGTTTGTAATGGCACTTTTACACAGAGAAAACACTACAGACAAGTGTTTTTGTTATATATCACTTCTTCAGCAGACAAAATACTTTAGATAGAAGCTGTGATCAGATACCTTGTGTCCAACATTTCTACAGAAAATGTCATTGAACCTCTACTGTTTCTGTTTGTTACTACTTCCCTTAGCCACATGTTAACACCCTTATTCCTGAGGCCTTCACAATAAGCTTAAACTGAACTCAGACTTGGAAGTCATCAGGATTTTCGTTTTGAGAGAAGATCATCATTACATCAAGAGCAACAGCACCATTCTCCCCTTCCACCACTGGCCAGGTATTTCTGCCACATCCTTTCCAACACCACTAATGATCTGGCTAACTACACTATCAGCTAGCTCATCTAATTGTTTGGGGTGGTGGGGCAACGAGATTATACTTCAGCCAAATCAGCTCTTTGTGTGCCCCAAACTGTTAGAGCCAGAGAGATTTGTGCTAGAAGGCACAAATGAAAGGAAGGAGCAGAATGACCACCCTTTCAGCAAACAGCCCCAGATCAGCTTAAATTGACCATTAAATTGCATCCTGAACCCTCCAAAAAGATTATGCACACATTTCTCATCCATTTCAAAGTCATTTTAAACTAAGCCAGTGAATTAATATGGATGACGAACATCGACACAATCCATTCTGCTGACTGAGCTACAGGCAGGCAGGCAGGAATACTTTAAACTACCAAAGCAGGTTTTTCTTTGTAGCAACTGTCTGATCACAAGTGCACACGTAAAATCAAATTGTTTAAGTGCTTCACTGGATCGAGTCCTAAGGACAGTACCTGCTCATGCAAGTAATTCTTACACCATTTCAAATAAAAGTAAAAACACGATACTAACTTCATAAGTTTCTAGATATTTGGCCCTCTCTTCAGGAGTCATAGATAGTGAATCTTCTAGGAACTTTTTCAATGAAGAATTAGTTTCTTAAAAAAAAATAAAAAAGACAGACATAATTAGAGTCATGCTTTAACTCCAACTTCATTCAAAGCTTACAGAATGCTTATATCCAACAAAAGGTTTAAAGATATAATTACATTGTATCTTTAAGACATTGAAGGCTGACTGTAAGAGGAACTGCTACCTGCTGCAGTTTGCAACATTTTCAGTGGTTTCATTTGTGGATTAGTATGAAATATTGGTTTTATTATTATAGGTAGAAACTCTCTTTCAGTAGAGATTGTCCTTTATGAGTGATTATACGCAGAGAAAATAGTACAAAATGTATCCTTCCCTCCGTGCCTCCCCACAGTTAAGGGAAATAAAGGGAAAAGCCAACAAAAAACCCCAGCCAACCAAAAAAACCAACCCCAAACTTACCAAAGTTCATTTTATCTCTGTTGTTTGCAATAGCATGAATTAGCCCAATTGTTCCACAAGCATTGTTAATGGTCTGCTTCATGAAATACACTGATGATTTGACATCTTGCCCCTTAGCTTTTATTCTCTCTTCTTCTTCTGTTCTGAAGGTTTCATACTAGAAGGGAAGTTACAGACATTTCAGAAATGACACAAATAGATACTGGCTACATTGTTCAAACAAAAATAATTTTAAAAAAGCAACAGCTAACTAATAAAACCCAAAACTCAATTTGTAATTTGAAATGCTTAACACATGTGGTCTGGCAAGTATATGTAAATTTACTCAACTGAACAGCTCTATATTATTTCTTAAATGAATGCCTTGCCACTAGCCAAAAACCAGTCACACTTGAAACATCATTTTGAAATATGTGTTATCTAACATAATTTCAAAAATGTTCAAAATATTTCCTTGACCTGAGCACTTGTCACCATCTCTCTTCAATCCAACAAAAAGCTTTTAAGGACAGAGGTCTCAAAGTGCTATCAAGCAAACCATACTACTTCAGGTGTTTATTCAGCATGAAGCATTCTTACAAGTTCCATATTTACATTTCATTTTTTTCCAGGAATAGAAAATAAGATTTATATAATGCTCATGGCCTCAAAACAGGCCCTTCAAAAGCCATACTCATAAAGTGAATGTTTATTTTCTGTAATAAAAGGAAGAATTTAGTTTGATTGAATGAACTAAAGTACTTGTTTTGTAAAGATCATAATTGAATAAAATCTCTTATACTGTGCAACAGTGCGTTGGTTTTGTAGGGTTGTTGGTTGTGGTTTGTTGCTTCTTTTGGGGGAGGTTTTTTTTTGTTTTTTGTTTGGTGGGGTAGGGGTTTTTTTTTGTTTGTTTTTTCTTCTTTGGTTTTTTGTTTGTTTGGTTTTAAGATTTTCATCTTAAACAGAGAAAGAATGAAAGAAAACTGCAAATGTTCCAGACAATGCTGTTCTTTCTTCGCCTCTTTTACTAGGTAATTTTGCAGGGGAAAAAAAAAAAAATTAAGTAGAAGGGCTTTTTATAGAAGTACGACAAAAGTAGTTTGAATGCAGAATGTTATCAAGGAACTCTTCCTGAAAACCCATGAGAAATTTCTCTCAGACTCTATGTACTGTCAGTGACAAACAGAAACAAGAAATTTTTCCAGCATTATGTTTCCACGCTTGCAGCTTATCTGAATGTTCTGAATGGTATAAGTAATAGCAAGAGCATTTACAAAGCATTTTAAATTGACACCACTTATCTACAAGTTAACAAAAACAGCCTTAACTGAGAAAAAAATTTCATAGAGCATAATCGGACAAAAGTTCAGATTAGAGAAGGTAAACAATATAGCTGTCATTCACTCCCTACAAACCAAAATAAACTGCATGTGTTGAGAATACTGAAAATACCATTTTGAGCAAGGGTTAGACCAGATCACCTCAAGAGGTCCCTCCTAACCAGAGCTATCCCATGATACGCATTCACTGGACCATGCCCAAAATGCCCAACGCTGACAGTATTCACTGTCTAGAACCTACAATGCAGACTAAGAAAGTCATTGACCTTTAAACTGGACAATAACGCTAAGATTATCTGTATGCTAACAAGATTATCTTGCCCTAAAAGCAAGTTCAAGCAAATTGATATATAGGAAACATGACAGAAAGGAACTTCTAGACAGAAGAACAAAGACACGATACAAAAGTGTTTACGAAGGCAACAAAATTAAGAGGCACACTTTCATAAATGTAGACACAGCCAAGAAACATAAATAATAAATTCAATAAAAGCGGACTGTAACAGGTCATATTGAAAGGGAGACTGAGGAGGGGAGAAGTACTCCAGAAATACAAAATAATGCTCAAGAGTCTTGTGGAGTTCACACTGAACAACAAAAGCTTCAGAACATTGGGACTTCACATGAAAGATTCAGCCTTCACACACTCAGGCTAAACAGTTCCTAGAAACACTTGTGTCCCTTATGTTTCTGAAGGATTAACATGCTGGAGAAAATCTCAAATATTTGGCTGATGGTCAGATTTAATTGGTCGATGCAACAGAGCATATGCTGCTTCTCCAGTTCTGTTTATCATATGTTTCTTCAGGATGAAATTGGATACACCTTCTGGAACAAGAGGAAGGTTGTTCTTTCCCATGGGATAATGTTCCCATAGCATTATCTGACAAAGGAAGTTTGCACAGGCAGGGAGGCAAAAGGAGAGTGACAGTCGCAGAAGGAGCTCGGACCGGTAGCTCAAGCAGCCAGAGAAAAATCACAGCACACAGAAAACACCACCTCAAAGGTGACAGAAATTTCCTGAAGACAAGTGAGGGCAGTTAAGAGTTTGCTTAAATTCAAAACTATCAAGGCAGCCAAAATCAAGCCTGAAAAGGACTGCCTGCATAGCTGTTTTGGAGAAACTGAGAATGCAAAAATTTACAGGACCTAATGAGTAAGAGGACTGACCTAGTCACTCTTCTCTCTATTTAAACAGGTTCTGTTGTAGACATTAAGCTTTAATAGCTAACTGCCTTGTCCTTAGAAACCACGTTCTTTTTGAGACACATATTAAAAGGGAAAAGTTTGGGCAGATTCTCCTGAAACTTTTTGGCTGACCTTAACACAATCATGTAAGGATTTTATAAATTGAAAGATCAATATGAATCACGCATTTCAACCTACACAACACTCGAAGGAGATACGCAAGATGAATGTCTTCTCTAGGTAGAAGCATATGATGACACAAAATAAGCAGACCTGAAGATTTAACCAAATCAAGTATTTCTAAGTCTAACACAGAAGCAGGAGGAATTCTCTTTCATCTTAGAAATATGCCCCATTTGTCCAAGAAGTGAAAGCCATATTGGTACTGATGACCAAACTGAAAGTGGATTGAAGTTTGGTCAGTGCAACAGTATGAAAACTCAAAAAGTAGTTTGGCATAGTCCTACACCCTACTGCTTATTTTGTTTATGCTACTGTAGCTTTCTGCTAAAAGTAGCAGAACTGAGCCATTTCACAGTGCATATATTAAAAAAAGCAAGCCTTAAATTGTCTGTAATAGAAAAATGTGAGGTGTATTTCTCTGTGCTTCCCCATTAGCTTTTCTCACTCCAACTTGAAAAAAAATTGGAAATATACATGTAAGGTTATCAAAAGACTCTGAAGGAAGCATTTTGTTGTTGTTGCTGTTTTTAATTAAGAAGTCTCTTGAATAAGGTTTGAGTCTCATCTTGATTCTGACACCAAAGTAATATATTCAAACTGTTCATTCCCATTTCATTTACAACAAAAGCGATTAACTGATTATTAAATAAACATTTACCTTTTCTGTTATTGGAAAGAGAAGCAGCACTGCACAGACAGGCCTTGGCACCATGCTAAGTAGTTCTGGTTCCATACCGTAAACATCTACAAATTGCCAGTCAGGATGTATACCTAACTGTTTGAGAAACTGGAAAAGAAAAAAATAGAATGATATTAAATGAGTACATATACTTATCTTTTTCGAAGCATAACAGAGTATTTACAATGTGGAATACATTGCAACAATCCATACTTTCTGAAATTTAAGGAGAATAAACAAGATTCAGGTTTTAATAAGTAAGGCTGAATAAATCATAGTGCTAATAAAGACACACAAAATCCCCATGTTTTATTTATTTAAATAGCTTCATGAAAGGGAAGTGAAAAGACTCCCAGCACTATTTACTAAAGCATTAAAGCATTTCAGCTATTTTGAAAGCGTTTTGTCACAAAATAGAGAAGTACTGAATATTCACTTTAACCTGAAATCATGGGTCAGAGCACACATGAATAGACTTATGATATTATTTGACTCCATGAGTACTTCAGAATACCTGACACCAGTGCTCATACTGGAGCTGCTGAGTTTCAGCAATTCAAAAAAAACTGTGATCTTCGATGGCCTTTTGAGCAAGAGATACAAGACACATATTTTAGTAGGTGTACCTTTTAAGGTGTTCTTTTACATGAAAAATCCTTTTAAACCATGATAGAATAACCTATTTTGAAATAGACAAAGATTAACTGCCAGACAATAATCATGAATCAAGTAATTCTCAGTTGCTTCTTTAGAACTTCTGAAGAGCGCCTAAGCCAAAGGCTTTCTGATCATCTTTCCTGTACTACAGCTATATGTCACAATACAAAAAGTGATTTTGCATCTTTTACCTAACATTAAGCCACTTAATAAGGAAAGAGAGCCTGTAGCACCTACTAAACTTTGACAACCTTAGCCTACAATTGGGTTCTCACTTTTTATTCAGATCTTCTTCTTTACTCGGATACCACAACAGTTGCAGAATTAGTAAATACATATGATCTAAACCAATTTGAAATATTTGTGTTATCAGAGTCTAGAATAACCTAACTGAATTCAGAAACTATTACTACTATACACACAGTGACCATTCAGAATTATAAGAAAAAGCTAATTGTACACTGTGACATACACAAATCCTATTTTGAAACACTACTACTACAGGTAAAAAGAAATACATTTTGGAGGAAAACTTAAAGATGTGGGAACCCCGTGTATTTTCCAAAAAGTTAACATTTCACAACTTACTATACTTCTGCTGGAAAAAACATATTCTACAGAAAAATCTTACCCAGTCACCTGGGGCTCTTGAGTTTAAAATAAGGAGTCTGCTGATAAACAGCTGCAAATTTAAATGCCTGAAAAAACACGCAGCAAGTAATATTCTTCCACTTTCTCTAATGGAAAAACAACGAACTCCTAAAGCATTTCTTTAGCCAGCTCTCAACAAAACTCAACTCTGCAGTTCCCAATACTGTTCCCAAAAGTGACACTGTAGAAGACCAGAGTAATTTGCCCATTATCTTTCTCAGAGGGGAAAGATACTTTAAAAGCTTCATCGTACTTCCTGCCCAATGCTATTTGAGGAAACCTACTGATATACATTTGCAGTAAAGATGCTTAAGAATCACGTAAGATTATAAGCCTAAATGAAAGGCATAGATGAGTCTCTTCTTTCCATAGTCCACCTAGTGAGCAGGTTTACACATACGCACAAGAATTCAGTAACAGTTATGCCATGTTTGAGTAGATTCATACCTACATAAACATAACTGTGAGAAATACCCCAAATTAATATTTTATTAAAACAAAACACAAGAACGTATAACAAAATACAAGTGTCTCTGTCTAACATGAGATCCCTTCAAATACCAGTTTCAACTTGTATTGGGCAAGAGGCAAGGTGGTTGTCTTTCAGGAGATGTAGCCAAGGGGCTGACTCTCAGTATTTAGCGATGTAAAGGAGACAGTTTCCACAAAGGCTGAATGTGTGGACAACAAGTATTTATAAAGAGTAAGGAAGATTTTTACCAGTACCACTTACGACTATCCTCTACAAGGGTGCAAAGCAATAGAAAACAAACATACCCTTAAGTTTATTAAGAGAATGAAGCTGCAGTTTGCAGCCAGTGTTTTGGGTGGGAGGGACGACACACTTTACCATTTTAAATGCATTATTCTCTTTCCATTTTACACTGCAAGACATGACATCAAAATCAAGGGCAAGTGAAGGCGATTTAAGTTGGAAAAAGAGTTTAAAGAGTATCTTGGAAAAATTAATATGTCTTTCTGTGTATCTACAGTAATAACATATACAGTTCACAGAGCTAGTTCAGTATTTGATTCTGGTTGCATTGTAAAATATGGAGATTTTCTTTTCATAAGGCCACGTAAACACTTTCCCCCATTTTTCTTTTTTTCTTACACTACTACAAAGAGGAAAAGGGGGATGAGGGGAAAACGTGTCTTTGTCAAGTTCCTAAGGAAATTTTGTTCCCTTATGTAGGGGTTTGTGGGACTGGGCACAAGTCATAATTAAGGCTTTGTATAACCTACCCTTTTCAATATTTTAAAAAACAAGCTAGTTTTGAAGTACAATAAGAAAATTCACTCAGAAGATTGCTTATGTAATACACCAAGCTCTTTTGCTTCTGTACCACCTTTAAGCCTTGCCAAGGTTGGGAGGAAGGCCAAATTATTATCTTTTAATGAGAATGGGGAAAAGGGAAAGTCTTAAGTACTTACTACCTAATGAAACAGAAGACACTGTATTTTGAATTCCTATCCTAACCCTCTAGGTTGTGAACATAATTACCATTTTGTGAATAACAAAAAGATTCCAAAGGGGAAGGGAGTACATGTATGGGTACATTAAAATATTATTTGTACTTCCAGTACTTCTCTTATGAAGCCAATGACTAATCTTTCCATAATTTTTACTGCTGTTATTCAGAACTGTGGGAAAAGTAATGCAAGTGAAAAAATACCATTTATTATTTTGCAAGATTACATGAAATAAGGATACAAAACCCAAACAAAATAAAAACCCCATTCACCTAGAAGAAGAACTCACAACCAGGAGAGACAGTGCTAGAAGGATCACATTAAACTACTGGACAAGTAAGTGATGTAGGTTCTCCTGTCCTGTCGTATACCACTGGGGGGAAAAAAAAAAACCCTCAACCAACCAGAACAAACAAAAAACACCTCCACAAACCCCAAATCAACAAAATGTTCCCTAAACCCAAGCATAGCTACACAAGCTCCTGAATGAAATATTCAACATACTAAAACTCCACAGATACATGGTGCCTTTCATTACTCACGCTACCATACTGACTAGAAACTTTACAATCTAAGAAACTATTAAGTTTCAGTATACAATAAGAATGATGACTAGAAGTGATGGTCAGCCCTAAAGAGAACAGCAAGAGTGTAGACTTAGTATGACAGGTAGTTATCTTAACACACAGGCAGCCTAACAACTTTACTGTAGAATCATAAAAAAAAAAAACCCAAACAAACCCCCCAAAACACAACATAAGGAGAGACCCAAAATAGGCAAAGGAAATATCTCTGTGTATCAAGAGGGTTTCATTCAGGCCTGGGAAAAAACAAGAGAGAAATTCTTCTGAAAACTTAGTAAGTAGATGATAAAAACTGGCAGCATAAGCCCCTGTGTAAGACAGACTGACAGATGGGTAACAGATGAACAATAGATGGCAGGATGGGAAGAACCCTTAAAACAACTACACGGAGCTTACTTTTAATGTGGAGATATGCAAAGGAAAAAAGGAGTTCAATCAATGACACAGCCAGATAAGTAATCTTTTGCAAATGTGTTCTGAATGGATAAAAATAAGGCAAGACTGTATTTAGCAAGGTCAAGGAGAAGAAATTTTGTAGGAATAAAAACAAGATGTTAGGAACCAGGGAAAGTTCTTTAGGGGGACAAAAATCCGTATTAGAAGTGACACAGGAAGGTCAGAAAAGAGATGTCAGAAGCAACAGCTTCAGTTTTGGCAAGTTACCTGAATATTTTAGTAATAACTAAATTAAACCACCTTTTTTTCTCCCACAGTCTTTTTCTAGCTCTTTCCTAGGCCTGACAAAGATGCTGGTACAAAAAGGAGTCAGTTATGCACCAGGAGGTGAAGCAACCCCTTCCCCACTGACAAAAGCATTCCTGTTTTAGGACAGCAGGCAATTCTGCATGCTTTTTAGACAGTGTCATTCATAAGGAGGCACCTCTGCTGATTTGCATTCCAATTATTCAGCGATTACCCAAGCAATTTTATTCTACAGATACCTACTGGATGGAGCAGGTAGGGTACTTTAAACCTGTATCTGAGGGCTCACTCACTTTCAGCTGTTTACTTTCTCTTAGCTTATTGATACTACACACTCATGTTAACATAACAAAGCAGCTCTAGATATTTCTCTAGATCTGCACGAGAGTATTAGATACTCTTTTTCAGTCACTGCTTATCACATTGCTGACTATTCTTAATTTATATGTCTTTGAGCATTTACCTTAGAAAAGAAAAAAAAAAAAAAAGATAGTTGGCTACAATACAGCAGTATTACAGGGGCTCAGGCAGAACAAGAACAGCAACAACAAAAAACACCACACATGTCTGCATCTAGTTTATTAACTTCTTCAGAACTTTATTCTTACTGATTGTTGTCATATTTTCATTTGTCTCTTTTCTTGTATTAAAATAGCTTCCTGAAAAACAGTTCTTGTTTTTTCACTGGTACAGCTAACCATTAGACAAAAAGTCACTTTTGAAATTAGTTTTCATGCGCGTACACCCCCCCTTATACACACTCCTCATGAGTTTCTCCTTTTTCCCCTAGTATTCGAAAAGGTCCTTCCTTCTCACCTGATTATTACTGTTTTCAACTAGCTAAGGGAGAGTGCAAAGAAGATGGAGACAGACTCATCTCAGCAGTGCAGAGTGGAACAGTGAGAAACAATGGACATAGGTTGGAACACAGGAAATTTGAACTTGATAAGGAAAGCATTTAAAAATAAATTTAAAAAAATCATGATCATGGTCAAACACTAGCACAGACTGCCCAGAAGGCTGTGGAGTCTCCATCCT